TGACAGAAATATAAAAGGAAACAGGCCTTTAAAAATTTAAAGTTAAAGTTACACAAGTTGAACTGGTTCTAGAATTCAGATCAATGTGACTTTACTTAAATCCTCTGTCCTTAACAATTTGTAAACTGACTGAAACATAAAGAGAAACTGCTAGGAGATGGTGAAAGCCTAAGTGGGTGGTATAACAAATTTCAAGTTTAGCTGCTAACTTCAGGGTCAGTAGGTCGAATCCACCAGCCACTATATGAAAAATGAGTTACAACCTTGGAAACCCAGAGTCAGTTCTGCTCTGTCCTTTAGGGTTGGTATGAGCCAGAACTGACTTAATGGCAGTGAGAAGAGATGATGATGGAACACGGAGGACAGGAATCAGTGTACTTAATTATGAAAAATTATTTTAATGCCTAGATGTAGTAAAAAAAACAACCAGTAATAGAATCCATAACTACCATTAGAGGAATTGACCTGCTTTTACAGTGTTTATAGACTGGGAAATTTCTTAGACATATCTCTTTAACCATATCCGCCCAAGAAATTCAGTTGTATTTTTCATTTTAGATTTCAATAACAAAATTTAGGCAGACACATGCTACTTAGAATGTTCTTTTTTCAGCTTTATGAAAGCTCAGGAAACTGCAGGTTTGAGTTGCCAGCACTGGCTAGCTAGGGTTGCGGAGCTTTGATGGATGGCATCTTCCAGGACATCAGAGGTTCCCCTCCTGCTTTCTTGCAGGTACTCTGTTACTGGGGGTTGGGTTCAAAGCAGAACAGGTTATCCTGTCTTATCTCTGTCCTGGGAATCTTTTCTTACCTTCTCGGACTATATAAATGTTTTACATTAGAAAGCATTTGGAAACATTCCTGAAACAACCCTGCCTGGTGTGTGTAGGGGCAGAAAATCCTTTCTGCATAATGTCTTTATTCAAGTCTTATGTACCAAGGGGCTTGCAAAAGTTCATGGGAAAATTCCATTACCTTTTCATTCCACTTTTCTACAAAATTATTTGAAGCCCCCTTGTACTTATTTGTAAGCAGGAATTGTTATATAACCTGGTACTTCCACTAAAATGCTTTATTCAAGGTTGAATCAGAAAATATATAGGTATATGAATGTGGTTATCTGTGAATGAAGTTGTTTTGACAATCACTGGGGGGACAGGTGCAACAGCTGAACAGTCCCTGAGCTGAGCCCAAGGTCTGAAATAGGAAATACAGCATGACCTGATAATACTCAAGAAAATAAAAATATTTACCTCGGACAGCATAACCATCTTTTACTGATGCTGGAAAGGGCGGCAGGTTGTCTTTTGCATACACATCTTGAGCAAGGACTCGGCCCATTCCATCTGAAAGAAGAGAAGAGAACAGGCAATTGTGACTGTTGAGAGCAATGGTGTAAGCAGATGGTACAAACAAGATGGGCATGTGTGCTTGTCTGACAGCTTGTACTCAAGCCCAGTTAGACGGCCAGATTCTGGTCCCAAGTAATAGGAAAGAGAAGGAAGAGATGACCCTGGTGTCTGAAATAAAAAATGAGATTCAGCTAATGCTTGAAGAGATTATCTTAATATGACTAACTACATTGTTGTCAAAGATATATTCAAGTATTTTAAAATACCCATTATAAATTGTTGATATGTCAGTAATCCCTTACGATCAGTTTCATAACCATTGACCTTGTAGTTTCATTTCTAGAAATCTACCCTAAGAAAATGGTAGATATTTATGCATATGTTTATTTTTGAGTTGCTTATATTAGTTAAAAAGAAAAAACAAAACTGCAAAAATATCAATAATATAATATTAAAAACCAATTAGCCTTAAAGTATCATGTGGGCAGAAGTAATACCTATGAAAAAACATCATTTACACAGAAACATCATTGGACATGTTTCATACCATTCTCAAGCCAGTGCCACTGAGTTGCGTATAACTTAGACGGAACTGACTGGACAGAGGAGACTTGCTCTGTAGGTTTCTGAGACTAAGTCTTTCCAGAAGAAGCAGACAGCTTCATCTTTCTCCCACACAGTGGCTGGTGGGTTTGAAGAGCTCAATGCTTAACCTACTGTGCCACAAGGACCCTTTGCCATGCTTCAAAATGTGCAAAAGTGGCATGTGTAATATATTATTAAAGCCATTTTAAGGTATATTGTGTACAGAAAAAGACAAGAAAAAATACATGAACATAGAGCATTTACCATGTTGTGCAACCAACACCCCCAGCTATTTCCATGTTTTTCACTTCCCCTACCAAAAACATAGTACATCTTAAGCAATAATTTTTCATTTACCTCCTTTTCCAACCCTTAGTAACCACTAATAAACGTTGGTCTCTAAACATTTGCTTCTTCTAAGTATTTCTGATTTCATAGTCTAGGTATTCTGTATTTCATGTTAGTGGGATGATATGGTATTTGTTCATCCGTGCTGTAGAATTACAACTTCACTTTTCTTAACGGCTAAATGATATTTCACTGTATCGCTATACCACATCTTGTCTGTCATTTGATGCTGGGGTTATTTCCCCCTTTTGGCTATTTTGGATAATGATGTAGTGAACAAAGGTGTCCACCTTTTTTCGTTCACCTGATTTTAAGTCTCTTGCGTATATCCCTTGGAGGGGGATTGCTGGGTCATATAATTTAACTTTTAACTTTAACTTCCTGAGGAGTTGCAAAGCTATTTTCCACGATGGCTGTACTATTCTTCCCACCCACCAGCACTGCACGAGTGTTCCAATTTCACCACATCCTTGCCAATATTTTTTATTTTCCATTTTTCTGATAATAGTCATGCCAGCATGTGTGCAGAGGTATCTCATTTATATTTTCCTAATGACCAATGGCAACAAGCATCTTTTCACACACTTACTGTTGGTCATTTGTCCTTTGCCATCTATAAATTGTATAGTTTATGTTGTTGAGTTCTAGTTCTTTTTAAAATCTGGACATTAAATCCTCATCAAATTGTCTTATTTGCCAATATTTCCCTCACATTATTCAGATTGTCCTTTTACTTTCTTCCCCTCCCCCCCCCAGCCCTGATGGCCCCCCACGGCCATTCTGTCCTTTTACTTTCTTGATAAATTTCTTTGATGCATAAAGTTTTTAATTTTGATGAAGTCTGACATTTTTTTCCCTTTTGTTGCTTATACTTTTGGTTTGCACATAGAATGATCCATTAGCAAAAGCAAAGTCTTGACACATTATGCCTATGTTTTCTTCTAATATTTTTATGACTTTAGTTTTTATATTGAGGCTAATAACTCATTTGAGCTAATTTCCATCATATGAGGTTTGGGCCCAACTTCATTAAAACAAAATATTGTATGTAGAGATTCAGTTGTCTCTGCACGATTTGTTGAAGAGATTGTTATTTCCTGATTTCCCGTCAAGAATGGACTTGGTAGGTTTCCTTTTTACTGTGGTGATGATTGCACATGTCTGTGACTATGTTAGAAAACTTACACACTTTAAACAGACTAATTATATGGTATATAAAGTATATCTCTGTAAAGTCATCAGTTTTTTTTCCCTAAAGGTCAGGGCAAGATATATTTTTCTTAAAGAATATTTCTTTCATATCAACATATAACTAGATTTAGAGGAACTAAGAAGTGCCTTATTTGTAGCACACTTATGCCATTTTGTCTTTATAGACCTTCTTGAAACCCTATGGGAAAAAATATTTAAAATTTCAATAAATAATTTTATTGGGGGCTCTTACAGCTCTTATAACAATCCATACATCAACTGTCTCAGGCAC